TGCTGTTGTCGGGTAAGGACGTTTCTCTTATGTTTTCTCTTTAAGAATTGAGTCTTAAGATTATTTTCTGTCATAAGAGAATTTATTTTTTTACTTGTATTTTTTGTGCGTTTTTCTCTGTGTATTTTTTTTATAATTTGTTATTTTTTTATGATTACTTTGTGATGTAAAATATATTGGATTTTATAAACTTTCAGTGGGTTTAAAATTATTGTAATGGAACTCTTCTTGCCTAACTTCAACATCTATCGTGTTATTTGTCATCTAGAAGTGAAGTTATGAATTGAAAACATGGATCTGTTTATATCACCTGATGTATGAACACACCTGTACACTGATTGAGGGGGTTAGGTTAGGTTTAGCGTTTGGGTGGTTAATCTTAAAGTGGGGGGCTAATCTTCAGGTGATTTTAATTAGTTTGTAAAGAATATTTTGGGGTTTTGTGTGTGTGAGGGTTTGTGGGTGAGCGTGAGAGGGCAAGAGTGAGACTAATTCTTCCTCTGCCTCCTCTACACCCGGCTCTCCTCCTCTCCCCCTCTTCCTTCCCTCCTCCCCCTCCCCTCCCCTCCCCTACACCTGGACCTGACGCTGAGGCTCCCTTCTGCCGCACTCTGACGCACCCTCACCAGCGAATACTCACGCACCCACACGCACCATCAACCAGTGGAGCGAATACTCACACACACACAGCCTCTACTGCCAATACTCACAAGCAAACTCATGACTCTACGCACATACGAATTTAAATGCACACACTCACTTCTATATTAACAGACTTTAATTTATTTGTACGTAGTAATGTATAATAGTGTATAATATATCAGGGGGACTGTATGAATGGGGGTGTGAAGGTGTGGGGGTATGTAAAGGGAGTAAGGGGGGTGGAGTTGATGGACCAATTGACTCAAAGGGAGAGAGTGGGCTGGAGGGGATGGTGAGGGGTTGACTAGATAGACGGGGTTGCATTAGCCCATTTCTGTGTTCCTTGGTAACTATCTCCTCCTCCTGTACCCTGTCTTGACACACACACACACACACACACAAGTCAAACACAGGCCCGGAGACAGCCACTCGATGCTCTAAACACACGTCACCACCACCACAATGTTGTCGTGACCGTGTTTCTAGTTAGTGTGTGTGTGTGTGTGTGTGTGTGTGTGTGTGTGTGTGTGTGTGTGTCTGTGTGTGTGTGTGTGTGTGTGTGTGTGTGTGTGTGTGTGTGTGTGTGTGTGTGTGTGTGTGTGTGTGTGTGTGTGTGTGTGTGTGTGTGTGTGTGTGTGTGTGTGTGTGTGTGTGTCTCCAGTGGGAACCTTTTCTATTGTGGTAATTTGTCCAGTAAGAAACTTTGAGCGACATAATAAAGTCCAGAGGAAAATCATCTGGCGGGAATTTTGTCCTCGTTATCATCACAATAAATCGTCCGACTCCTCACAGTAACGGGAAGACACGGCTCTTACTCCCGGGTAATGGAGTAGGCGCCATTATTACCCCATTGGCCATTACAATTAACGTTACGTGAATTAGCTTACTCGGCTCCTTCATCCGACGAGCGCCATTATGATCCAGAGAGATTCCATTTTTCCATTAAGACGCTACGACCTGTCCATGACCTGTGAGGGGGAGAGGTGAGGGAGGGGATAAGCTCCAGATTCTCCCCCTCCCTACAGGTCTCCCCTCCCCAGGTCCTCCCCCTTCTCTTTGGGTGATCTGCTGATTTTTTAGGTCCCATTCCCTGACTCCTTTAAAGACTGCTGGCATAACGGGTCCCTTCTCCCTTACCAGGTCACTTTCATCCTGACCATCTTTTCCACTGACCTGCAACAACCCCTTCACCAGGTCCCCGTCACCCTGCCTCTCTCCTCACTGACCTGCTACACCCCTTCACCAGGTCCCCGTCACCCTGCCCCTCTCCTCACTGACCTGCTACACCCCTTCACCAGGTCCCCGTCACCCTGCCCCTCTCCTCACTGACCTGCTACACCCCTTCACCAGGTCCCCGTCACCCTGCCCCTCTCCCCACTGACCTGCTACACCCCTTCCTCAGTAACCTGGCGCCTTCTCCTCTTTCCATCCGCTTCCTGTGTCGTCTTCCGGCAGTACGATAACTTGATAGCGATCAGCGGCGCCGTCCATCTGTCTGTCTGGCTGACGTACGATAGTTTAAAGGCTCCCCCAATCGTCTGTTTATCGTATGTAAACAAACACACATGTGTCTCTGTGTCGTATGAAGAACTAACGCGACACGGCTACAGGACACGAAGCACTTAATGTAAACAAAACATCATTTACAAACAAAATAAAGTACATCATTTACAAGAAACAGAAACATCTCATTTACATACAAGCAGTGAGGCACGTAAGGGTGTAAAAGCCCGGCACGAACAAGGGTAAACGGGCAGGCACTCTTTAAAAGCACGGACAGGCGAGTGTAAATAAAGCCGGGTATCGACAACGTTGGCTTATCAGTGAGCTGTTAACAAACAACCTCCGGGAGCCACACTAAACAAACAAACGAAGGCAAACACACTATAACCTTCCTACCTCCCTCCCTCCCTCCCTCCCTCCCTCCCTCCCTCCCTCCTCCCACTTCCCTTCAACCATGATTCTGGCTTTGATAATAATAATAGTAGTAATAATAATAATAATAATAATAATAATAATAATAATAATAATAATAATAATAATGGCACATATTCTAATAATCTTCCTTAATAATGGGTTACATACCGTCTCATTTGAACTACCGAACTGAGTTAATGACCAAAATGGCGTCGAAATTACACAGAGACTGTAATTTCACTGTATTCTTATATCCTCCGTACATGAACGAATGACCAATGACGTTATCACTGAGTTAAATCATAGGAAAAAAAAACACCAGAACAAAATATCCCTCGCTTGATAAACAACTTCCACACGAGAGAAATCATACACTAGTGAGATCAGAAAAACCGGAGATTGTGTAAAAACTGTAAATAAAACCCAAAACGTTAACGCTTCAGTGTCCTGCTCCCTCTCACCTACTTGTCAGCCGGAACAAACAGCAGATTGCCAGGCTGGGAGGAGCGATCTGTGTACGTGTACTGATCCTGACGCACACATGTAGTCTAAAGTTATATGGCCCTGTGTATAGTTGCGCGTTATGTATACGTAACCCCATTGTATGAGTGTAGTTCATGCATATGTATAGCTTATGTATACACTTAGGACGCGTATATGTATCGTTCACGTACACTTAGACACGTACGTATATAGTTCACGTACACTATGAGACACGTGTGTGTATAAGGTCACTTACACTTCGAGGCACGTACATGTATAGCTCACGTTCCCACACTATCCATTCATTTTCCCCTTCTTTTTTTTCGCTCTTTATTCATTTCCTCCCTATTCCCCTCCCTCAGTTACGAAGGAAGGGAGGAGGATGATGGGAGGGTGGGAGAAACGGGGAGAGAGAGAGAGAGAGAGAGAGAGAGAGAGAGAGAGAGAGAGAGAGAGAGAGAGAGAGAGAGAGAGAGAGAGAGAAAGATTCAGGGATGGTACAGGAATAGGAGGTACTGAGACCTTTTGAGAGGAAGGATGGAGGGAGGAGGGTGAGGGTAGAGAAGGATGGATGGAAGGAGGGGGGTGAGAGAAAGAGGGAGGGGGAAGGATGGTCCCTGAGGTACGCGGCTGGTGTTCAAGGGTCCTTCAGTGAGGCTGGGGACTGGAACTGAGGAGTCATTATAAGGAAGGGAGGAGGTGTTGGGGAGAGGGAAGGGGAAGGGGTGTTGGGGAGAGGGGAAGTGGTGTTGTTTGGGAGGGAATGCTGATGATATTTTTTCCAATTATCATCATCATTTTCATGTTCTTCGTCTTTTGTCATCATCATTGTCATTACTGTCATCATCATCATCGTTGTTATTTATCATTACCCGGCATTTTTTTCGTCTTTGTCTTCATCATCATTATTACCGTCAATGCCACCATTCGTTATCATCATTGTCAATATCACCAAATCGTCATCATCATTGTTAATATCATCATCATCATCATTGTGTATGTCATCATCATCATCATCATCATCCCTTACCTCTGAGATCCCCCTTTAGCTACTAAAGGTGACGTATAACTGCAGCCACTAACGTAGAGGAGTACGCCAAGGGGGACACAGTGACCCCATCTGTTCTCCCATAACAGATATTGAACACTGTAGATGAAGTACTCGATCTGTCGAAGTCGATGATAAAGGATTCAATAACACTAAAATGTAGATAATTATCGGTATATCGACTGGTGGGAATTGGTTATCGTGTCGTGAGTATACCGTAGCCATGAGGGTATACAAGTGTGTACCGCAATAAATAAAAATCGGTATATTGTTAAACAAAAAGGTGTTCGGTATATCTACGTGTATTAGGGTGTCAATTATGTTCTTTTTTTTTTGGCTTTGTAGCATGTATTGGTGAGCCAAGACAGTGTTTACCTCTGTACCGGGATATTGGACTTGAGTTCTCTGTTGTTGCAGTACTTTATATATATATATATATATATATATATATATATATATATATATATATATATATATATATATATATATATATATATATATATATATATATATATATATGTGTGTGTGTATGTGTGTGTGTGTGTGTGTGTGTGTGCTGCAAAATATACTGAATGTTTATGAGTCTGTGTGGATGCTAAGATTTATTTTGTGAACTGTGTATGTGAGTTGAGGATATGAACCTGTGTTTGTGGATATTTGTACTTGTTGTCTTGGCTCTCACTTGTAACTTTCCACACTTGTCTTGCATCACTCTCCCCATTATTACTCTCCCTTCTTTAAGGTTCCTCTACCCCTTGATCCACCCGACACAACAGTGGGAGAGGAGTAGAGCCAGTGTATAAACAATAGAAGTATAGATTGGTTGCAACACTGGGCAGGGCGTGTCCCTCCTAGCTGCTGGCCGCACTATAACCTACAATGACTAATCCCACTTCCTTTGGCCTTGCAGATGGAGAACCCGGCGTTCCTAGACAGCGATCAGTCCGTCTACGAGAGCGTGCGAGGGACCCCACGCAACATGTCCCAGCGGCGACCACACCACCTTCCCACCATCCACCACGCCCACACACATACCCCTAGGGGCGTGGGCGTCCCCCAGCACGTGGCCCACGTCCACAATGGTCGCGTGCTGGGAGTGACGGGCGTGCCGGGCAACAATGTACTGCCGGGAACGGTGGTGCAGATGTCCGGAGTGCCCACCTCGGCGGGGCACACCACTACCCTCTACCCAGACCCATCCCTGCCGCCCCTCTGTCCAGCACACCTCGCCCACCTGCCCCACGGCGAGCCCATGTACTCCTGCCAGGCGCCCCGCGACCACGACCACGTCTACCAATGCCCCGGCCACCGCGGGGATCACGTCGACCACCGCGACCACCACCTAGAGCACCGCGACCATCGGGACCCCCGCGAACACCATGTGGATCCCCGTGAACATCGTATAGACCCTCGCGAACATCACGTGGACCCGCGCGAACATATGGACCCTCGAGAACATATGGACCCTCGCGAACACCGTCTAGAACCCCGCGAACACCACGTGGACCCTCGGGAACACCACGTAGATCCTCGGGAACACCACGTGGACCCTCGGGAACACCACGTGGACCCTCGGGAACACCACGTGGACCCTCGGGAACACCACATGGACCCTCGGGAACACCACATGGACCCTCACCACTTGGACCCTCGGGAACACCACATGGACCCTCGGGAACACCACATGGACCCCCGGGAACACCACATGGACCCCCGGGAACACCACATGGACCCCCGGGAACACCACATGGACCCCCGGGAACACCACATGGACCCCCGGGAACACCATATGGACCCCCGGGAACACCGCCTAGAGCCACGCGAACACCACCTGGACCAGCGGGAGCACCGTCTGGACCCGGCGCTGGACCACCGGCCGGACTACCACTACGGGGGCAGCGACTACTCTAGCACGGAGCCCATCTACGCCCAGCCGCACCTGTACCCGCGCGAGGGGGGCCCCGGTACGCCCACGCTCGGCTACAACAATTCTAGGGGCTCGCTACGGGCGGCGTCGACGGCCGGCACCCCAGCCAAGTACCTCGTCCGTACCGATTCTTGTGGAAACTCCACCTCCTCCTCGACCCTGCCTACTGTATCCGCCCTGTTAGCTCGAGAGGCCGCCCACATCCCGCCCACGCCTGCTCATACTACCACACCCTCCCTCCGCTCCTCCTCACGTCACGGGAAAGGGGGAGCGACGCCCACGCCGGCGAAGCTGAAGAGGCAAGGACTGTTCCGGGCGTGGAAGGTTAAGTTCATGCGTGGGGAGAGAGGTGGTCGACGGGCGTGTGTGGTGCTGACGGCCGTGGTGCTGCTGCTTCTGCTAGTCCTGGGTGCCCTGGCTGCCGTCCTCTACCTCACACGTGAGTACCCTCTTAACTTGTTTACACCATAACGTGTTTTCATACCTTGTTCACCTGTTTACACTTTGTTGTTAATTTGTTTGTACTTGTTAACTTTTCAACATTTTGCAGTTAACATAATATCATGTTGTCGCTGTTAAGTTGTTTACATTTCACCTGTTGTTAATATATTTAAAAGACGGTAACTTGTATCAAAATAAAAATCTCCATTCATCAATACACAGGACCCCGGAACACGAGTCTTTCTGTGTAGTTTTCGCGTCTTGGGTTTAATCTGCGTCAATAAGACCTTTGAACTTGCTGCCATCTGTGAATGAATTATGTTACGTGTGTGTGTGTGCGTGTGGATATCGCTGCGTGTTATCGTGAAGTGGATATAGTACGTGTATGATTGGATATCTTGTTATTGCATGTGGATATCGTTCGTATGTAAGATGCCATGACTGTACTTGGATATCGCGTGTGTACGTGGATAGAGTATATAAGGGATAATAGTGCGTGTGTATTCAGCTATCGTGATTGTGTGTGTACGTGTACTTATGGGTCTGTGTGGACGTGAATATGGCGTTTATATACGTGGGTACCATGCGTGTGTACGTAAATACCGTGTGTATGTGTGTGTGTGTGTGTGTTAGTGGATATCGTGCGTGTGTGTGTTAGTGTGTGTGTGTGCGTGCGTGCGTGCGTGCGTGTGGGTTGCCGTGATAGCATCGTGGCTGCGGGCGCGGACAAGAGACCCGCCATCTTCACCAACCTGCAATAAAACACACCCGACCACCACCGACCTTCTCCCCCGACTTCTTACTCCCGACTCCTCTCCCTCCTCATCCCTCCCTATTCCCCTCCTTTATCCTTATTCCCTACTCCTCTCCCTTATCCTTTCTCCCAACTCCCTTCATCCCGATTCCTTTATTCTCTCTTCCTTCATCCATCCTGACTCTTTCCCTCCCCCTTCCTTCATCCTGACTCTCTCCTTCCCTCCTCCTTCATCCTGACTCTCTCCTTCCTCTTCCTTCACCTTGACTCTCTCCTTCCCTCCTCCTTCATCCTGACTCTCTCCTTCCTCTTCCTTCACCTTGACTCTCTCCTTCTCTCCTCCTTCATCCTGACTCTCTTCTCCCTCTTCCTTCACCTTGACTCTCTCCTTCCTACTTATTTTTTTATCCCAACTTTTTGCTCCTGGACTTAACTCCCCAAAAAACACACATCCCAGACAACTTAAGAACTCCTCGCCTCATTGCCTAGAGACAGCAACAGCGATAGACAGCAGGAAGAACAGCAGGAGATGCAGCAGCCAGTAACAGCAGTAGTAGACCAGCAACAGTAGCAGCAGGATGGCGAAGCTGCCTCTTGCTACGTAACCCTGACCATCAACAGCTTATCACGTCAGTTTCGTAATTATTCCCTTGTTAATTTTGGTCTCGTATTCACACCTGGGGTATTATGTTCTCTGCTACACACCTGGGGTATCATGTACCCTCCTACACACCTGGAGTATTATGTTCTCTCCTACACACCTGGGGTATTATGTTCTCTGCTACACACCTGGGGTATCATGTTCTCTCCTACACACCTGGGGTATTATGTTCTCTGCTACACACCTGGGATATCATGTACTCTGCCACACTTGGGGTATCATACAGATAGGAGACTCATTCCAGCAATTCCGAGACTCATTCCAGTAATTCAGACTCATTTCAGTCATTACGAGACTCCTTCCAGCCATTCCGAGACTCATTCTAGCAATTCCGAGACTCTTCCCAGCATTTCCAAGGCTCTTCCCAGCAGTTTGGCGATTTGTTCTAGTATTTTGGAGTCTCGAGCGTGTATGGAGACTCCTGTTCCCTTCTGTACAGTGTATGATAGAAGGAAGGCGAAGGGATGGGCAGGTTGTTACTAAGGAGGCCGCTGGTGGGATGGAGATGGGTGTCGTGGGATGGGAGAGAGAGAGAGAGAGAGAGAGAGAGAGAGAGAGAGGGATAGTTTGACTTGCTAATGAGAGGCCGTAGGGTCGTCGAGGGTGGCTGGCTGGTTCAGGTGTTACATGACAGTATTGTTTGTGGCTTTTAACAAGTTCTCTGGTCGGCGGGGATGCCATTTCTAAATTTATCGCGCGGTGTTATGTAATCCCAATCTAACCTAACCCAAACCATTCTAGCCTAACCTAACTTAACCATTTTCCCAGTGGATTTTCATTTAATAGGATTTTTTTTCTTCAATGGGATTTCCTGAGTTAGGATTTTTCACCAATGGAATTTTATCAAGGGATTTTTCACCAATGGAATTTTATCATGGGATTTTTCACCAATGGAATTTAATGAGAGAGGATTTCGCTTCAATGGAATTTTATCAAGGGATTTTTCTCCTGGGGTTTATCGTCCATGCACCCTGCTGCTCGCTGTGCCTGGACTAAATCTCCCGACTTTAATCGCTCTCATACTTTTCGGTCAACTGCCTCTTAGCTCGTGCCAATGGCCTCATCAGGTTAATGTAGCTTTGACCCCCACTACGTGTTGGAGTTTATGTTATTTGCTGTACTTTCACGGTGTGTGTGTGTGTGTGTGTGTGTGTGTGTGTGTGTGTGTTTGTTTGTTTGTTTTCGTTTTATGTCTGAGGTGGTTATTTTTTTAATAATAATAATAACCTCGATTGCGATGACAACCCAGGGTACTATAAGATGGTACTCAAGGAAATAATTATTATCGTACTCAAGGGGTTAAATCATCGTATCAAAAGGAATGATCTATCTTACTTAATGGCCAAATTTATTACACTTCTTAGGCCTGGGCATCAGACTCAAGAAGTTAGACCTCTCTTGGGGGAAAAAAAAACAATCCCTCGTGCGAAAAAAAAACATCCATCAGTCAGCTCAGGAAAGGCAGGTAAGTTAGTTTTGGCTCCACGCAGCACCAAAAACTCGGGTGTGTGCGGAAGACATGGGCATAAAACTTATATACCACTTGGGAGTAACGTGGGAGCTTACTTGGGTGTGAATTACATTACTGGGAGAGAAAGATGCATGAGTTGTGGGGAGGATAACTGGACTGGGGTGAGGGGGGGAAGTGGGGAGATGCTTTTTTAATGTCTTCCTTGCCTCTTATTGTCTTCCCTTGTATCTCCTTGCCACCCCTACTTCCCCCTGCCACCTCCTTTCCTCCCATCTCCCCCTGCACCTTCCCTTACCTCCCCTTACATCCTCCCCATCCCCTACGTCCTCCCCTCCCCCTATCACTTCCACTTCTCCCTATCTCTCCCTGCTTCCCTCTACCACTTCCCGCACTCCCCTACCACCCTCTGCCACCTTCTCTCTCCGTACCTCCCCCAGCCACTCCCCTCCCCAGCCACTCCCCAGCCACCTCTCAGCCTTTCCCCCCCGACACACTTCCTCTCAGCACCAAGGAGGAGTAGTTCACCAGGCATCAGTGTACAAATTGTGTATAAAACGTGGTGTGGGGACTGTCTGGTGTCTAATCAGGCGGGTCGCAGCGCTGGCCTCTTGTACCTGTCTTTCCGCGGCCCGTACCTGCCAGTCACCGCCGCCCTCCACGTGTTGCTCGGGTTTACGGCGGCGGTGGAGGGCGAGGGAGGTGGTGTGGTTAGGTAGGGGTGAGGGGTGCGGGTAAAGTTGGGGTGTGGGGGTGTGTAGAGGGTAGGGAGAAGGAGAGTGGGTGAGGGTGAGGGTGCAGGAGGAGGGAGGCAAGGTAAAAGGATGGTGAAGGGTAGGGAGGGATGAGGGAGGGCTTGTGGATAGGGTGGGAGGCGCGAAAATATAGAGAAAGGCTGACAGGAAGGGATGAGAAGAAGAGAAGGGGTTGAAGAGAAAAGACAAAGAAGAGGAGATGCTGGGAAGAAGGCTGGTGGGAGGGGAGAGGAGAGTGTTGTGCAGGTATGAGGGTGATGGGTAATATGTTGTGTCGGAGGCAGGAAGGGGAGGACAAGGAGTAGGGAGAGCTAAGTGCTAAGAAGAGGAGAGGGGAAGAAAAAAGGAGAAAACAGAGGAGGAGGAGAATGGTGTGAAGAAGAGAGGAAGAGGAAGGAGATGAGAAGGAGTAAGAATAAAGAAGAAGAAGAAAGAGCCCGTTTAAGGAGGTGCCAAGGAGACTTTAAGAGGAGGTGCAGGAAGTAGGTAGTGAATGTCTTCATTATTGCAGGATCTGAATGTGCTGGGAGGAGGAGGGAGTGTGGAGGTGTATTTTGGAGTGGGTGGGTGGAGAGAGGTAGTGGGTGGGTGGAGAGATGGAGTGGGTGGGTTGAGAGAGGGAGTGCGTGGGTGGAGAGAGGGAGTGAGGGCGAGTTTAAGAGGTGGAAAAGTGACTTGAACTTGACAACCAGACTTGAGTGACAATGTCGACTTATTGCAAGATGGTCACAGAAACAACCTGGCTTCTTAATCACGCTGGATTTACTGTTGCTCACATGGTAGGAGGAAGGTGTAAGAGGTGTAGGGGAAGGGAAGAGTGGTGAGGAGGAAGGGTAGGGTAAGAGGGGCGAGGAGGAGGACCCGGTAGAGTCGTCAGTTTCCCCTAGAAGGTGGAGAAAGGAGGCAGGTCTTACACAGGCGATGACTCCCTAACGCTGCTGTGGGTGGCTGACGAGGGGGTGGTGAAGGTGGAGGAGCTCGAGGAATATACTTTGATCCTATTGGTCATCTCCCTTACGGTGATAAGTTGGGTTCAGGTACACTTCTCTCGTATCTACACCATTTTAGTTAGTTACGGGCTTAAGTCAATTTTAGGTACGTTTTCCACATACTAAGGTTAAAGGTATAGAAATAAATGTTTTTTCGTGTGATAAAATAAGCTGTGTGTCATAACCATTAGAGACGTATAGTGTATATGACTTGGAGATGAGAAACGGAAAGGATTAAGAAAATGAATAGTGATGAAGTTTGACTAGAGGGAACTTGTGTGGGATGGGGGATAGTGTAGGCCAAAATTACCTCAGACAAAAACTCCTTTGGACAAAAAATAACCTAGGACAAAATTCCCCTTGGACAAAAT